GGTTGGAGGGGGTGTGGTACATGGCGCTGTGATTTAGGAGTATGTAGGAGAATAGAGTGTCACATATAAAGATTTTGTTCAGAAAGTATCTGAATAAAAAGTGGAAAGAAATTCAAGAAAGAAAAAAATATAGTTTATTGTTCTTGATAGTTTTATCCTATATGCATAATTGTCCATAAATATACATCTCCAAGCCCAAGCCTTAATATTATGATAATGAAATAATGGGTTTCCCTTTTTTTCTTCATCACTTGCCAATGTGCCACTTAACCCTTTGTAAAGGTGACAACATGTACTACCCTGCAGAATTTCTGGCACATCGCACACAGGCCTACATGTATTTACATTCATGTATAGGGCAAATACCTTTATGAATCTGAAAGTCCTTTGAATTTCGTTTGTGTGGTCTCACTGCCTAGCACCTGGACATATTTGCAAACCCTCTTTTACTTCGTTATTATTAATAGAATTCCTGGTATACTTACATGTACTGTATACAGTAGTCATAAATTGTTTGATTTCAGCAGGTTGGCAATGAATATTGAGTTTTAAACAAGATGAATGTGTATTGGATAAATGACTGCAAATTTAGCCTTACTACATGTACATGTACATGTACATGCATGTATCTATAGTTTCAGTGTATTCACAAATTCTATGATTTTGTTGATTTTCCCGACTTTTGAATGTTTATATTTATTGCCTATCAAGATAACAAGAGAAGTATAGGAATTGGTGAATCATGTAATTCATGGGCAGATCGATGTAAAGATGATTATTCTAAGTCCTAAGAAAGAATCTATTTAGATATACACTGTAGAACTACAGTATACACTGTAGAACTACAGTATCATTACATGTACAGGTGTACATTGTTTTACAAATCAGCCACAGAAAGGGCTACAGGGTATGTTAATATGTAATTGTATAGTCTGGTGTTCGGGGATAGGGGATGGGGGGGGGGGGGGGGGAGTTGGGCTGGAGAAGTTTTTTAGTACACATTTAGGGCAAATGGGACGGGAGCTCGCAAAAATAGTCACAGAGTTGCCAATTCATGTTTGATTGATCGCACCTTCAAAAATGCATACATTTCTTATTTTTAATTGATTTTTGCTCAAAATTTTACTGACATAACTACAGTGTTCATAAAATTCATAACTCTCTTGTTAGTTATCCGATTTTGCTCAGACTTTTTTTGATTTGTTAGTCTGATATTTTAGCTTCTATTGAAAGTAAGTTATTTTTGGAGTGGACTTGGGCTTTAATACCAGGGTGGACTTATAGTCTATACACCTACATGTATAGTCTGGGGTTAAGCAAAATTTTGTGAAAAGTGTGAAAACAAAGTGGAATAAGCTTAACCCCAGACTATAGATGGGGCTAAAGATGGGGCTTTAACGCAGTAGCAAACAATGACTCACATACTAACAATGTGTGCAAGTAACTCTCTTTGAATGGAGGGAGAATGGAGATTGGTGGAGTTTCTAGGTTGGAGCTGTGATGTCTGTCTGTATGACAATATGACTGATATCCTGCCACAGAAATACATGTCTATAAAGGTGGAAAAGGTTAAAAGCTTTGGTATGGGGTCATGAATTTGGTTCAAATGAACATATTGGAAGCCCATGTGATTTTACATTATTCAATGGTCGGGGTTGAAATTGAGTCTAAAGAGATGAAAGTGGAGATAATAAACCTTGTATGTTGTATAGCTCCCTCTCAAGACTGACATCACTTTAGCTTTAAACAATATTTTTATGCCTCGGGTACAAAGTAGTCGGAGGCTAGATTTTTCTCCAAGAAAATCAAGGCTAACATAAAATCCTATGCACGGAACGTTAGTCTGACCTTTCGTGTGTACCCTATTTTATGTCAGCGTGTATGCATTTCTCGACTAGCTGTACAAGACGTTTTTTTACTTGTTTTCTCAGAGGGTAGTTCAACTGCATGTTTGTTCATTACAAAGTTCATGTTTATGAGGATTGAGGAGATTTGTGCGATTGGCCGATTATAGCCGTGATATTTGAACAGGCGGAATTTTTATACAGTCTTGGGAGTACACTGTAGCCCAGGCAGATTCAGTTCAATTTAGTAATGGGTTTATTTGAACATTTGCATTGCATCATAACCCATATCCGCAGACTGCATTTAATACACTGCACATTGTATCTGTATGTAAACAGCATTTGTACCCAATTGATATACACAGATATTTGCACTCAAAACATTTTGCACTTCACATCCCCTTCATAGACACAAAAATAATTAAAAGTTGACAAATTATATATTAAATATTTCATTTATATGTGTACACACATTTAGACAAATTTAGACATAAATTATCACAAACACATATAAATATTTATTCAAAACAACATTTAGAAATAAATTGCATATTTTGTTTTTCTCTTAATTAGTTCAAATCAGAAATAAAGTCACTTATACCCTTTTTTTAACTGGCCTGATTTTCATCAGATGCATCTGGACGCATCCGATGAAAGGGCCAGTATCAGTATGAAAGCAACAGAGGAGAAAAAGTTGATCTAATGAAATAGGCGATTAAATTCTCATTCTATCGATGTGACACCGATGAAACAGCCAGTATGAAAGCGTTCGGGAGAAAAAGGCGATTAATATTATCCCGACCAACTATCCAGCTAATTTGCTACTTCGGTCTAGTGAAGACGCAAATAGCTGGATAGTTTGCGATCGGGATAGTTCAAATAGCTGGATATTTGACAATCTCGAGATAGTGAAGACGGGCCTATTGCGATGTTGGGTCACATGACTTTAGGAGCAGGGCTAGCTTTTGTCCTTGAGGCCTTATTTGGATGAAGTAAACGACTTGTTTATGCTGAACCGCTATGAGAGAGTACCAGCTAGACTGTCAAATCTTGCTTTAAAACCCACATGGGGAAGACCGCACATGTGCATTACCAACCAAAACACGCCAAAACATCACTGAGCTTTTCAGTCGGTGATGTTTCAGCACAAGTGTCAACGGGAGCACAAAACATCGCGATTTTTTTAAATTGAGGTATTTGACTGTATAAATGCGCCTGCTGAGGATATAAAAAGAAATCTGCAACTGGAAAACGTTGCTTCGTTATTCTTCATTCAAATGAAATCAGAAAATCTATCACATAAACTCGCTATCAAGCTTTGACAGGATAGCACTTATGTGGGAATATCAGTGCCATTCACTCTGACTATTTAAAGCCCATGATCACAGATTGTGACGTCCTGAATTCTGGTAGAGGACTTTTTTTCTCTGTGTAACTCCATGTCTCTGACTTGAGATTTTAGTGGAGTTTTCTAGCATAAATTCACCATTCTGAACTTGTTTTGTCGGTTGAATGCCATTTAGTGCTATTCTGGGGGTTAAAAGCTTTCTATTGATGTAATTATCTCAATATCTGGGATTGTTTTTGTATGTCTACTTTAAGTGAAATTTTGCCATCAAATTTTTGGAGCTACCAACACTTTAGAGGGGCTTTAATGTCAAACAATAATGAGCAAATAAAATTCCAACTCTCAGCATATGGTTCATACAGAGAACAAATATCTGCTGCCCTATTGCTGTGGATTATAAAATCCAATTGATGTTTTTCTCAATCCATACATTTTCAAATATGTGATTGTACTTTTATGTTAATGTTCTGTACTCGGCATTGTAATGACTTTCATCTACCTTTGCTGAGAACCCTTCTAGCTCAAAACACGTTTATTTATACAGCCCCCAAATTTTGGAACTCTCTTTTTAATGACATTCAACTTGCCCCCCCCCCCCCTCTCTTAATTCTTTTATGAGGAAATTGAAATGGTTTCTTATACTTCCTTGCAATACAAATTAATATCAGTGCATTGTCAAATCATGTCTTGCCTTCTGTTCTCTAAACACTTCCCGTCACATCTTTTTTCATGCTCTGTGTATGTATCTTACTATAATTATGGTCACTACCCCTGCAGTATACACAGCGTGTGCTCTCTCTCTCACTTTCCTTTCTTTCCTTTCTTCTCCTTTCCACCTCTCCTCTCTTGTTATTTACTCTTCTCATTTGCAGCAAAATTTTCTATTCCATTGCTTGGTAATCTATGTTTATATTTTTGTTGTCAAGTCAATATATTTACATGTTACACAAATTATGTCTGTCATTATTTTAAGGATCCACATTTTACATGCTCTGCATTTCAGTGGATCCCTCCATTTTTACAGGTTTGTCTTTAAAAATAACTCTCAAAAAAATGTTATACTGGAAATTATGTATACTTTCTATTTTATAACTTTGAACCATGTAAAATGTATTATATTATTGAATGCTGAATTGTTTATCTGATTTCTGGTCTGAATAACTGTTCTTTTGGAAATGAAAGATAAAACTAAAACTGAAACTGTATGTTTTCTTGGTAGCATGATTTGAACACTGAATAACAAAAATATATTTTTAATAAGAATGTAGTTTTTGTATGTTTACATGTCTGTCTGTCTGTCTCTCTCTCTCTCTCTCTCTCTTTCTCTCTCTCTCTTTTTCTCTCTTTCTCTCTTTCTCTGCCTCACTCTCCCACGGTCTTTCTTCTTTTTTTTCTGTCTCTCCCACTCTCTCCGGTTGTCTCCTCACCTTTCTACCTCTTTCTTTATGACAATTCACTTTTCCCTACATTCTTCATGTACATTGGTCTACAGGATGTTTGGGTTTCTGAAAAGGAAGAAAGTATTGATACTAAAACCATTTTTTACCAGGTTGAGGGTCTTTAAGTCTTTCCTCTCTGAAAATTGCTGGTCAGAGCTCTGTAATATTGTTTATGACAGTACAAATTGCGGATCATAGTAGACCATAGTAGCAAAAGGTATCACAGTGCATTTTACCAGCAACAAAGTGGTGAACAGTGGAAGCATTACTGTGTGATATCCCTAGTACTTTGAATAAACAATCCTTTGTTTACCTGTCCAGCTTGTGATTACATAACATAATACCTGAACTCTCCCCTTCTCTTTCTAGGTGGTTGTCGATGCATTGACTGATCTTAAACCCATTGTCATCCAAGGAGAAAGGTATCAAGATGAGGAAGCTGTCTATGAATCTGTGTTTTGCCGTCACTATTGCTGTGGTGAACATCCTCTTCTACTTGAACATGTCAGGAAACTTGTTGGCATTCAAGAGGAAGGAGCCTATTGAGCGTAGCAGCAATGTGCACCCTCGTAAGGCGGAGATGTACCAAGAAGAGATATCCAAGCTGGTCAGAGAGGCGGTCAGGGATCATGGTGTCAGCCGGGAAAACCTGACCTCGATGCTTGAACTAGCATACAGGGAACACCAAACATCCGAACGCACCAGCATGGAAGACTTCTTCATCCACAAAGGCAAATCTCTACCCAAGAATAACACCTCCGATTCTGTAGGGCTTCTAACAAAAGTATCGAGTAAGGAACATGCAAGAGATGGAATGAACGTTGAGGATCTTGCACCAATTCACTCTGTAAAGAACCAGTCAAAACCAATGGATGTTGAAAAACTTGAAAAGATAGATGCTCATGACCCAACGCTTCATGATACACAAAGGAGTGGAGTGTTGGGTGTCATTGGCAACTTGTTAGGCAGTGGTAAGAAGGAAACACCTATTGTTTTTCCCCATGACCACAACTTGGTTATAAATGAACCCAACAAGTGCAAGAATGACGATGGCAGCGATAGGCAGGTATTCTTCTTGGTGCTCATCTTGAGCATCCATAAAAATTTTGACCAGAGGAATGCTGTACGGAAAACATGGGCAAGTCCCAAAGAGATAGATGGCAAGCAGATTGTGACATTGTTTCTCCTAGCTAAGAACACTAATCCCAGGCATCAATCGCTGGTAGAACAAGAGAGCAAGCAGTACAAAGATATTATCATGGAAGACTTTATGGATACCTACAAGAATCTCACACTCAAAACAATGATGGGTTTAAAGTGGGCCAGTATTTTCTGCCCCCAAGCCGACTATGTCATGAAGACTGACGACGATATGTATGTCCAATTTGCTAACATCATCACGTACCTATCCAAGCCTACAGTTCCAACTAAAAATTATGTGACTGGATTTGTCATCAATGGGGGCCCTATCCGTGACCCCAAAAGCAAGTGGTACATGCCAAAAGAAACATACCCCGGTAGTAAATATCCACCGTTTTGTTCTGGAACAGGGTATATGATGTCGGGAGATGTGCCGGGGAAAGTGTATGAGACATCGCTTCACACGCCTTTCCTCTACTTAGAGGATGTTTTCTTTGCCACATGCATAAATTCCCTCCACATAGTACCAGTCAACAACAAGGGATTCAACAATTGGCGGACACCATATTCCTATTGCAAGTACAAGCGTATTTTCACAACTCACATGGTCCCACCGACAGAGATGCAGAGAATATGGAATGACCAGAAGACCCAGAAGGGATACCGATGCTAATTTTGATACAAAGATAATATATTTGTAGAACATGTTCTAGGAAATGTACAGTTTTAATAAACTTTTATTCTTTTACGCTATTGTACAAAAGGTTAACAAAATTAGGATGACGGTGCAATTTCTGAGTACTGATTTTGGTTAAAAATTTATGAAAACCTATACATGTGGTCCAGTGCATAAAATAAGCGATTTTTTTGTTGTTGCTTGTTCGAGGCTTAAATGAATCTTCATATACCATAAATGTGAAGATTCAATTGATATTTAAGAAAAGGCAAAATATTTTGCTACTTGAACATGTACTTTTGTGTATTCGGTCCAATGTGCGGAGCGAACTAAACCAACAGAAATATTGTTTGTACAGTACTGTAAGATTGACAAGAAAAATATAGAAATTGTTAAGCGTATTCCTTATCCCTACTTTGGAAGTTACGATGGAAGAAAGTTCCAAGTCTACCAAAATTCAAAGGCAATGGCTCTACTCATACATTCATATAACCAATATATTGATTTTGACTCCTTTTATGAAAAATATTAGTTTGCTCTCAATGAAATGTATATTTATCTCGATGATGCTGTGCAGGATATGTATTTAATGTTAATCCATATCTGTAATCAATATTTGTCAGCTGGCTAGGAATTGGTCTACTACTTTCACAGAGTCTAAAATGTACCGCAATGGTAAAATACATGAATGACAAGATCTGCTTTGATTGAAACAAATAAATACATACGGTTACATACATTGTAGCATTCTCTTCCTCTTCTCTCTCTCTCTCTCTCTCTCTCTCTCGCTCTGATTCTCTTATTTTCTTCTTTTAAGATTCTATTATTTTTTTCTTTCTATCTTAATAATAATAATACATGAGACTTGTATGGCGCCAAATCCACTTGACAATCAAATGCTCAAGGCGCAGCTTGTGCAAAAGATGAAATACATGATTTATACACAAGTGCAATAGGAAAGGTACAGACATGAAAGGTAATGGTAATCAATTATAAGCTAAATTAAACAGATATTTCTTAAGATTTTTTTTAAAAAACCCATTAAACCCCATCAAAACATATACAAGTAAACCACCGCGACCCCCCCCCCCCCCAAAAAAAAAAAAAAAAAAAAAAAAAAAATCTGAAATTTTTCTGAAAATCTGATTTTTCACTCCAAAATCTGATTTAAAAAAAAAAAAAAATTCAATAATTTTTTTTTTAGGATACTCAGTCTGTCTTTTTGTGCCAAGAGGTTGGCATCTCTGCTGTATGTCAGACCAATAATTAGAAAACATTATGAATGCTTGAAATATGAGATCACTAAAGTCGATCATTATATAGAATTACCCTAGATTACATTTAATACACTACAAGCAAATTTGGCAAATTGTTTGATATCTAAATATTGTGATTTTTCCACTTCCTTGATCGAACTTTAGTCTACTCTGCACAAATACTTCCAAGTGTGCTTACTTCTGAAATGATATTAGCAGCGCTATGGTTTGTTTGTCTGGATATGTTATGAAGGGTTTTGGAAATGATTTGACAAGTCATTCAATAGTCTCTTTTTTTTTAAAGGTTTAAGGAAGTCATTCAGACATGACTTCCTTGTTTCTGTGTTTTTAACACATATTATTCCAAGCATGGTATTTTCCGGTACATGAAGAGTTTTGAGTACAATGGAACTTCCAAGGAACATACCCTTCATGTACAGATCACTTCCCATCCTGCAATAGTACATCTTATTCCTCAACCAGATTGTCAAGTTCATGGGTTATATACATTACGCTTGAATGACCTTGCTCATGTGATTCTTAGCATGACTTCCAGGACTGACACCTGTACACATTTTTATTGCTGGTACTACTAGTCTTGTACTATACATTGAACTCGGATTTCATGTATCATCAAAGTTAATAGTATCTAATTCCAATTTAATGTACATGTATAGTACTGTAGTAATTATGTAGCCAAATTATTAACAGCAGTACTTTCGTTACATTTTAGTATATTTACATGTATGTACTTTTAAAGTAGATATTCATTGATTTTAAAACTAACTTTATTTTCATTATTGCAAAGTTGAAACTGATTCGACAAGGTTAATAAAATTCAGTGCTTGGAAACATTCAAAGTAATGATTATTATAAATTACAAAACGCTTAAATACAGCCCCGGCATAGCACCTGAAGAGCTCTCCGAACGCTACTGAGATGTGTGAGATCACAGTATGGACATGACTTGCACAAGCAGACGATGCCCCATGACATCTCACACATTTTCAGTGCCTGTGTTTTCATCTTTTCTTGAGTCCTTTCTCTTACTTCACTACCGTCAGGCTAAATGTATAATCTGTTGCCTCACTCTTAACCCCGCGCATGTTTTTATTTTGATGACTAATGCAGCGATACAAAAATAAAGGAATCTGTCGCTTGTAAACAAAATAAGACGCCATTGTATATTCAGCTGTGCACACATCGGGGTATGTTCGGCATTTCAAGAGGGAACAAATGCCATCCTTAATATCATTCCAGGGGGTTTTCAATTTGAAAGTCTGGTTTCTTTGATTGTTAATTAACCCCAATCCTGTGTATTTACAAGCAAAAGATTTTAGTTATCAGAATCGGGTCATATCCCCTTTTGAATGGTTTGACATGCCATTACATTTATATACACTAAACTCATTATAATTTGACAAATAATAGCTTTGCAATTATGTTCATTCTCTATGGGATGTTGTCTGCTTGGGCAGTGTTGGTCCATATAGTGACGTCATTAAAACATCATTATTTTTCCGGCGAATCTCTGGTATATCCCAGCTGCTATGGAGGTGGTTGTATTTGTATTTTTTTATAAATCACCCGATATGTAGTTGACCTATAACTTGTACGATGGCCATCTGTTAGCTTACCAGTTTCTAGTGATACATTAGTTGAAATATTTGTGATCTTCTTTGAATTTCACCTTTAAAGATTTAGAGGAATTTCCAAATGTCATATTCGATAAAATCCTCTTGTAAGAGCCAGATGAGTGTTTATTGATATTATGTGACCAGGATTAGCTTCCATCTAGCTCTCCACAGACGAAATGAGGAGACGCGATGGCTCAGTAGTTGAGCAGTGGCCTCGTAACCGGGAGGTCCCAGGTTCAAAACCAAGTCAATGCACTTTTGGCCTTTTAATAGGCATTCATCCTCATTACCGAGTCCCTTGGAGAGGAATTAAAGCTGTCGAGACCAAATAAGCATAAGCAGACGATGTCCCACAACAGCTTTGACTGCAAACTGCAAACTGCAAGGAAATCTCAATTTTACAATCACAAATCCGAAGAGCTTTGTGCAGAAATACAAGATTTGTCATTTTGATTCCTACTCACATAATGAAGATTACCAGTAATGTGTTTTATCTACACTTGTATCTCTCAGCCTCAGTGTGGTGGTAATTGTTAGTTGTGAACCTTCATTTTAGATTTAGAGAGAGACAAAAATAAGCTGATAATTGTATTAAAAATTGTGAATCATTTTAAAATATATGAAAATTATACTCCTATTTGATTACTTAGCAAGGGAAACATCGCTCCCAAAGGCAGTTTTCTTGCTAGCCATTCTCCCACGGGAGTCACCAATTTAATTAAAATAGTGATGTCAGAGTAGTACAACTTTTGAGATTCCCACTGTCTTGTGGTATGTAGGATGCTCACCCATGAAATGCATGACAATAGTTCCCTAATAATACACCTTTTTTGTAATGAATTCAAAATTCAAATGAATGGGTGGCCTCTCATAACTATGGTGACAATCTGTTTTTGGTACAGCTGGTTTAAACAATCCAGCCGTCTTGTGGTATGTAGGATGCTCACCCATGAAATGCATGACAATAGTTCCCTAATAATACACCTTTTTTGTAATGAATTCAAAATTCAAATGAATGGGTGGCCTCTCATAACTATGGTGCCAATCTGTTTTTGGTACAGCTGGTTTAAACAATCCAGCAGTTTCTATTATTTAAACAATATTTGGCTTGCATAAGTTGTTGCTTTGTCATACAAAGCTCCACTAATTATTCAAAAGAGTGACAAAAGATGTATACAGAACAGCTCAAAGAAATCACCTGTTTGAGAGGGTCGACACTATATAGGCATGCGCACATGGTAGCCGTTATGGTTTAGTGATAGGGTTATAATAATCATGCTAACCCACCTTTCATCAACCCATCATTAGCTCAATCGGTAATGACAGCGAAATAGAACATTGTAGTTGTGGGTTTGAATCTTAGTATTTATTCAGTTCTATTTTATATACTTCATAAATAGTGAGGCAAAGCAATAAATAATCATGGACCTACTACATCTGTGAGGTAGGCACAGCCAACTAGAATCTTTGCGAGCCGTAAAAATTGTGACATTTACAAAGTATTGGTATGGGGTCATGAATTTGGTTCAAATGAACATATTGGAAGCATCTGCGATTTTACAATATTCAATGATCGTTGTCGCAGTTGAAATCGAGTATAAAGTGATGAAATTGTGAATAATAAACTCTTTATGTTGTATAGCGCCCTCTCAAGACTGATATTACTTTAGCTCTAAAACAATGTTTCTTGACTACGATCGAGCGATTTGCTATTCCCGTTTGGAAATTATATATCAGAACTGCATATTCTGAGATTTTTATGGTCGCAGCTACCAAGGAATGGCCTTTGGCGCTATTTAAAATATTTGAAATTTACCGGGAGCACCGGTAAATTTTTGATCATTCAATTTCTCGAAAGCAGAAGTGTTTTAGGGGCTAAATTTTCTAGTGCTCATAATACATCCACAGGGGCATCCAAATATATCAGAATTTTAAAGAATTACTAAAATCCAATTTTTAAAATTCCCAAAACTTTGCATTACCTATTACATATAGTGTCAACCGTTTGAGATACCAGAGTAACAAGATGGCTGCTGTTTCTATCTCTGATTCATGGTGTACAAAACCAACTCACTTTAATAGTAACACCCTATCCATTTCATGCAGGTCAATGGACTTGTACTACTCTGACATCACTATTTTAATCAAAATGGCAGTTCCCTTGTTAGAACGGCTAGCAAGAAAACTGCAAAATCTGGAGACATTATTTTCCTTGCTATGAAATAAATAGGAGTAACTACAAGATATTTTCAGTTTCAAATAAGATTATCAGCTAATATGTGTTGGGTTTCATTCTCTTTTGAACTGTCATGTCAAGAACAAACATGATTATTAAAGCACAGTAAATTATGATAGCAATCCAGTCACTTCATGCTGCTTTAACCATTTATACCGGTACTCTTTTTACCTGAGTACTCGCTTTTTAACAGAATTATCAATTATTGTTGAGATGTAAAATTTCATATTTGTAAGTACCATACTTGTGAATAAATTGTGTATATAGTTTTATTATCCTGATAGATATTAATAACTAGAATATCTGCTCTGAAATGCTAGTTTGTAAATTGCGCCATAATTCAAATTTTATTGAAGCCTTTTTAATGTATATGTATTCAATCATAACAGTTATATACAAGTACTTCTCTGCCTATATAGTTTGTAGTACTTTATGTAGCTCATGTTGAGGAATTGAACAGCCTTGTATTCCTGTGTCAAAGATTATGTTGATTCCTTTTCGTTTAGTAATAATCATATTATATTCTGTATATAAAATTAAAAAATGAGAAAGCAGCTGTGGTTTCATCTAAAACTTTGGCATTTCCTCTGAAAATCTAAGAGTATAAC